CTGCTGTCGCCCTTTCTGGGAAGTCTTTTGGGAGAGGAGAAAGCAAGACTACTCATATGTTGTCCATGTTAATTTTTGGAATGGGAAGATAGAGAAAAGAACTAAGAGAAGAAAGGGTACAATTATTCTTTAGAGGACAGGAAAAGATGGATTGAATTTGCCCTGGATTTTTTTATTTTATTTTAATAACATGAGTATTTCTAAGATCTCCAGCTTTACCTAATTTTAGTTTAGGTTGGGAGTCCTCTTAATGGCAGCTTGATAACTTTCCACTCAGAGTCCCAGGTAACGAATTCACTGTATACCATAGCAATTTGGAAAACACCTTTAAGTCTTCTATGAAATGTGCAAAATGGCAGTCTTTCTTTATATCTGAAAGTCAGACCCTTTCACGTTTGAAATTGTTGAGCAGATGACTAAGAGGAAATTTATTGTTTATAAGTGGAAAGAGCCCTCCCTCATGAATTCTTTAATGAATAAGGAAGGGTATCTCTGCCTAACATACAATCTTTAACTCTTGGCATTTGAATTAGAAAGAATAAAAACTCACATCCTTTGGTTTTTCTGTGAATAAAAGCTTATCTTTAGACAGTATATTTTAAAACAAGGCTATTTGAACGAAGTTTGATATTGTCCAAAAGTTAAAAATTACAAACGGGTAATTTAGATTAAGGCTACACACTAAATGTATAGATTCCAACAGATAGTCCTGTATGGTGGCAAATGTTTGGATTGACACCATTTATCTTAGTCACAACTATTGGATTATGAAGAATAAATTAACTCTTAAGGAAGGAGTACTTTTAACTGTGATCAAAGCGTAGGTGTGAAAACGTGGACAGTTCAAAAATGTATTCTAATTTTCAGTGTTTAGTTTGCTTAATGAAGGGTAAATTGATATTTGTGGTGTTAGAAATCTTCTTTCAGTGAGTTTTGAGTAGTCCTAAACATTTTCTCTATTTCAGTAGACTCCGATTCCCCTTTTGCCCCAGTGAAAACTCCCGTATATGAACTATAATACAGTTATATAAAGATAGGATGGCCTTTTTGCCCTTTCTATTTTTATTTGTGATCTCTCTTCCTTGTCACTTCCAAAGGGCTACTATTGTCATGTCTCATCTTTTTTTTTTTTTGAGCCAAGAGTACAATGGCCACAACTTTATCACTTAATGCTTGTAGACATAAAATCCAACCCTATACGTAATTCCCTTTGGTACATCATAGGTTTAGATAGAAAGGGACATTGTCAATATTGTGATGATAATTATAACCTTACCAAGATGGACAAAAGTGTTCTACACTTAGGCATCTGAGGAGTGAACTAAATGTACTTTTGGAAATGACTGTGCACTGATGGATGGAATCTTTTTAGACTTTGTCCAGTTGGCTGAGTCTGGTTCTGTTACCTTATTAGCTCGATTATTTTGGATAAGAAGCTTTATTCTCTTAGTACCTCTTGTACCCCAGCCTATTTACAATAAAGATACTGATTTCTACCCAGGAATTAATTTGTGGAACATTTAATAGCGATAAAATAAAGTTTTCAAATTCTTCAAAGAAGATTTTATGTTACCTACAAGATAGAATAAAGTTCAACATCGATATTTACACATTTCAGGGATTTGTATTTATTAGTGTTCCTTCTTACATACCTGGCCCATCTTCTTTGCAATTTAGTTTTGCCTCTTCAAGCTTCTGGATTGTAATGGTAAAGGATTTGTCCCTGCTCTGTAGATGGTGTGCTCCGCAGTGGCCGCTCCCTCCATCAGTCTCTCTCACTGTCTAAATCAGTGGCTCTGCTCCATCCCTGTAGTAAGTACTCCAGTTCCTTCCGAAAACCAGATGGCACTGAGCTGCTTGCATGAGCCTGTCCTTCTACCCCCCAGAAGTCCAATGGGACAGGTGGTCTACCCTTTCCCATGAGCCACAAGGCGCATCTCTGAACTGGCTGCTGTGAGGATTTTGTAAAGGCATTGCAGATCTATTCAAATGGGCTCTTCCTTAGACTGGCCTTCAAGACTTTCTTTTTAGCTTTGCTTAAAAAGATAGCTAAGGCATCTATTGATTCTGTATGTTGGGAAATTAGTGTTACAAATAAGGGACGAAGCTCTGGTGAGAAATATAAAAAAAAGATAGAACTGGTTTTCTGCACCTCTGAAAACATTTGCTGCCCTTGCTGATGCTAACTTTGCTCATAGAATCGTTAACTGTTGCCATGTTTTGGCCTCATCCCCATTCCCTCCGAACTAGGAAAGTGGTAAAGATACCCGGAGCAATGACCTACTTATATAAAGTGACGTAGTTTCTCATAACTGGTGGTGTACATAATGACAGAATAGGGTGGAGTGTGTGCATTTCAGACTAACACGTGACTGCTAGCTTGTCTGCCTTGGTTTTCATTTTATTTTCTGTGTCTTTTAGAGCAAAGAGCGTACAGTTTACCAGAGCCGCCAGAAGAAAAAAGGTATTTTAACTGTTCCAAATTTCCGGAGGCACTGCTCGGTTCACCTTTGGAAATGTGTGCACATCATTTTGGATACTTGTTTAATGGTTTGTGAAGTTTCTATGCAATGGGCCTGCCTGAATCCTTGGCTTCCTTTGTGATCTGTATAGCTGACTAGCTGCTCCTTTCAGTCCCTGGATGTGCAGGCCTCCAGACTGGGGACAGAGTATTCTATTGGGTTATTGTCAAAGCCAAACACTTATAGCATACAGGACCACAGGGAGCAGTGTGAGGACCACCTGCTTTAGAAAGGCATCAGGCCCTGGTCTGCTAGCTTACTTGGTTAGAGCATCATCCTGAACCCCAAGGTTGCAGGTTTAATCCTCGGTCAGGGCATATACAAAAAGCAACCAATGAATGCATAAATGAGTGGAACAACAAATCTATGTTTCTTTCTCCCTCCTTTCCTCTCTCTCTCTAAAATTATTATTTTTTTTAAAAGGAAAGAAAATAGAAAGGCATCAGGATTTGGCTAGGTAGGCCTGCCATGACAAGAAGCTTTATTTACTATGACAACAGGTCCTGGGCGGTCAGTTATAGAAAGTACCTAAACATCTGTTACCTGTCTGGAGGGAGTAGTGTGTAGGAGTGTTAAGTTTGAAACAAAGAACACATAATGTTGAAAGTGCTTTAAACATCAGTTTTCTAATTGATATGCAGATTTGAAAGCTTTGTGCCTAAGCACCTCTCCTCCTCCTCCCCCAAATAGCTGTCAGTTGGAGTTTGGGAAGTTGACTAGGGAGCAGGCAAGACTTTGAGCTCTTTTGGCCTCAAGTAACTAACCATGCGTGAGCCCCACTGTGAAATAGCCTGGGGTTATGTCAGAAATGGCAGAAATGTTTGGCATTAAGAGAACACATGAAAAAGAGAAAATGGTTTTAATTTTGGTGATATTAATGCTGAAACTCTGAAACCTTTTAATGTATAGATCAAGGTAGACTATTGTGATTTAAGTCTTGGAATAAAAGTATTAATAAGGAAAAGCCTCCTTTTGTTTATTCTTATATTTTGAGACCAAAATAGAAACTTTGAGCTGAGAAAACCAGAGGAAGACTAAGAATGTCCTTTAAGAACAGGAAGTGAGGAAGATGGCCGTATGGCAATGATGATGGTGATGGCAGGAGCAGAATAACTGACCATTATTGGGTGTGTGTTTTTGTGGTTTGTGCCGTTTGGAGCTGCTTACTTTATTACTCCTTTTGAGCAATTTACTAATTCTGGAATTTGTTCATCATCTTGGCTGTCATTTTGATTAGCAGTCTTCCTTCTGCCATCTTTCTCACAATTGAAGAAGTACTGGACTGATTGTCAAGATTTTTTAAATAAAACATTTATTTTTCATTAGGAGACGGAGGGATTTAAGGCTAGAAAAACCAATGTTTTTCCACATTTTCTGTCATTCTGTTTTTTATCCTTTCTATTCTTTATTGCCCCCTAATCCACATCCTGAAAGCATCTGACTATCTCAGTCATATCCCTTAGTGCAGTGATTTTCAACCTTTTCCAACTCCTGGTACACAAACCGATTCCTTAAATTCTGTGGCACATGAAAAACATATATTTTTTGCCAACCTGGTAAAATTTTGATTCATTCACACTGGATGGCTATATTGTTGGCTGTTGTCATTTTTTTTTTTTAAATTTGGTAGTCCAAGGGAAAAGAGGTCAGTGTCTCTGACTAAATAGTCAAGCATTTCATGTTTTAGAAATTTCGGTGGCACATTGGTTGAAAATCGCTGCCCTGGTGTATCTAGTAGAGTAGATATTTTATCTCACCTGTTCTGTTCCTGATATCTTGTTGGATATGCCAGGAAGAGTCCTGGCCATACCTGTGGTTGGCTTTGCTCATGATGTACGTATTTACTTGAGGCTCCTCGTCCACTGGCATTTCTATGTATATTAATCACTTCATTTCTGAATGCAGCCAGGTAGATGGGGAGCTCACTCCAGACCTTGCAGGCTCATTTCTGCAGAGCTGACACACTACCTATCCTAACAGCTTAAATGCTGTATGGCATGACTCACGTACTTTATTGCTACCATCTGTCTTAAATTTACTGCATCTGTTACTTTCTATTAAGAAAATTTTTGAGCAGTTGAGTGTTCAAAGAAGTCTCACTGTGTCGACTTTCAATTTGGGTAGTGAGAACTTTTTAACATTTAGATGCCCAGTTTTAATTTCAAAAATAGGTTATAAATATAATAAATTAGGATTACGATGTTCTTTAGATATTTTAAATATCTACTTACCAATTAAAAAGGCCATACCAAGAGACTCTGAAGAATGGAGCTTGTAGAACTTTACTGTGGGTGATTCCACTGGGCATCAAATTGATAATAGAGCTTAGGCATTCTTGTTCTGGGATGTTGAAAGAGTTTAAATTATTTTCCCCAAGATTCTTATAAATTGAAAGCTATTTAAATTCTGTTGTGAAATCAGTTGAGGATCTTGCCCTTCTCAGTTCTTCACTACAGTACTTACTTGTTATATAGATTATTATTGTTTACATGATCATGTCTGGGGCCTTATCAGCCTTTGAGCTTAAAAGTTAAGTGGTACAATTTTACGTAATTTTGTAGAAGTATGTAGAATACATGGTAAATTGTGGTGCATGTATACTTTTTAAATCAAAACTGAAATGTTGTTCTTGATATTCTCTTCTGTAACCTGGTGATTTGGAATATAGTTGAGTACATATTTTCTTTTATTTGAGAGTTTAGTTGTGTTCCTGCTGGGAAGTAGAAGAGAAAACTTCTTGAGTTCAAAATCCACATTGACCTCACCATCTCACCATTCTTTAATTCTGAGATTTAGTCTACTCAGCTTACAACTGTTCTCTTAGGTATTGGGTGGCACCTTTTGTGACTCAAATGTGTTTTTCTCCCACTCCCAAAGTGAGCCTGTTGAATATTATACCATGAGTTTTGCAAATTAGGATGCTTAAGACATAAGAGGTATGGAATTTTACAGGTTATATTCATCAGTCAGTTATCTAAGGAAGTGGCTGTGAAGTAGAAAGGAAATAATAGGATCTGAGTTCCTTTTTGTTACTCTGAGTAGTTGTAGGATACATTCACTTCTACTCATCCTCTTTCCTTTCTGGCTTTTTCAACTGTTCTCTCTAAGTAGCAAACCCAGTTTCACTTACTGTGCAGGATTTGAAAAGCAGGACACTGTCCTGACTATGCCTTTGGATCTGCATGACCAAGAGGCAGCTCTGAAGCCATTTATTTATTTAAAAACACACACATTCATAAGTTTGAACACCCATTATCTAGTATAGAGGTTAAATAACTTAAAGTTTTGTTTAATATGTACCAGGTAAATACGTTTTATATTAAGCGTGAGAAGGGCCCTTAGAAATAATTTAGTTTAAGCCTGTCATTGATCAGATGAGAAAACTCAAGTCCTAGAAAGTTGTCATTGAATTTATTTTCATGAAAGTAATCATGTATATTTTGGTGCATATCAATAGTATGATTGCTTTTGAAAGTATTTCCCAGAGTTGAATGTGTTAGCCACTAATCTTCACAAGAGAAGGTTTTTTGTTGTTGTTTGGCGGGGGAGAGGGGGGTAGGAAAGACTTTGGATATGAAATCTTTCTTTTGGAAATACTCGGTCTACAAAAGTGTTATCTAGTTTGACAAGATATATACCTAGGTTGATATTTAACATATTCCCTCTTTCTCTGTTATATATTAGAAATATAAGACTATCAGAGAAAATGATTCCAGGGAAAATATCATTTTTCATAGCTGGGACTTATTTTTTTCATAAAGAATGGTTATATGGATTAGAGGTAAATAAATGATGTTCAGTGTGTTCATGGATTGGGTACAATTGCCTCTAGCTTGCCTCTTATTTGGGGGAGCATCCACAGTTTTCTCTCCTTTGTAATCTAGAGAGTTTCAGGTTGCAAATAGCCTGACTGAGTAGGAGAGACGGAATCAGGGGCAGACAGCCTGTTTCTCAGGCCGTATTGACAAAGGAAATATCTGTCTGCTGAGTATTATCTCTATATTCCAAAAATACAGAAAATACAGTTTTTTATTGTTGGTTTTTTTGGCTTCTCTGTGTTGGAGGAAAATTCTGTTAGTATAATAAACAGAGAGATGATTTTCAGAGTAAAATTACAAGTCTGAGTTATCCTTTATTTCTCCAGTATTTTATTATGAAAAAGTGTAAAGTATACAGAAAAATTGAAAGAATTATATACTGAATACCTACCTCTACTACTTATATTCTGTAATTGTTAGTTGTTAGTCTGTGATCTAGTTGCTTTATCTATCTACCTACCCATCTATAAGATATATTTTTAATAGTTTCTATCTTTATCTTTAGAAGAACAATTAAAACTGAACAAATCTATATGTGTAAATATATGTATAAAACATGTATATATATATATGTGTAAAAGCATATGCTGTATTTTACCCTCTTAAATCCTATAAGCCATGAATGAATACAGATTATTTTTTGTAGAATTCCAGAAGAAGAATGGGATAAATACATCATACCTGCCAAATCGGATTCTGAAAAGTACAAAGTGAGCCGAACTTTCAGCTTCATCATGAATCGGATGACTAGCCCTCGGAATAAATCTAAGGTAGTTAAGGTTTGGTGCCTATCATGCAGAAACATAGATGGCTCAGTTTCTCAGCAATTAGTATAGTTTCCCCTCCCCCTTTAAATCATTTACCTCAGATTTTAAACATACTTGAAAACCTGTATGTTTTATATGGAGTATTGCCTAAGTCAGTGGTCGGCTAACTCATTAGTCAACAGAGCCGAATATCAACATTACAACAACTGAAATTTCTTTTGAGAGCCAAATTTTTAAACTTAAACTATATAGGTAGGTACATTGTTATTAACTTAATTAGGGTACTCCTAAGGCTTAGGAAGAGCCACACTCAAGGGGCCAAAGAGCCTCATGTGGCTTGCGAGCCGCAGTTTGCCGACCACTGGCCTAAGTCATCAGAAATGCTAAGACAACTACATTCTGGGTAATAATACATGTTGGCATCATTGTACCTGTTGATTACAGTCCTTATATTCTGATAGAAATGTAGGGACTTTGTATGACTTCTCTAAGATGTTGGCTCTCAGCATTTCTCTTTTCTCATTTCCCCCCATTTTTCTGCTGCTGCTGCTCTATCTGAAGACAAAAAGCAAGGATGCCAAAGACAGAGAGAAGCTTAGTCGACATCAATTTGTCCCTGGAACTTCCTCTGGAGTTCTACAGTGTTTGGTTTGTGATAAAACGCTACTGGGGAAAGAGCCGTTGCAGTGTTCCAGTAAGTTCTCGGGCCTTGTATGCAGTGTCTTTATGCTTTGCTTCCCCAGACAGTAAGATCCCTGAAGCCAGGGTCATTGCTAAGCATATTCACATGGACGTTTGCTTTAGTGCTGCATATACGATTAAACAACTTAACAGAATGGCCCACGATGGTTCGAGTCAGTACTTTTTTATCCATAACCTTCCAGAACCCAAACTACATATATTACTGCAAACTTAAGGTCTCCACTTGGGTGTCTAGAAACTTCTCAAATGTTACATGTCCAAAACAGAGCTCTGTTCTGCCTCTCCCATGCCCACCTTCAAGCTGACCCTCTTTGTTAATGGCACCCACAGTGCCCAGAGCCAATGCCTTGTGAATAGCGGTTTAGTAAATATTTGTGGAGTCAAAAAATTATTCAGAGCCAAAGGATTCAGGCCCAGGCAGGTGAAATGCATTTTATGATATTTGTTGGTGGCCAGAATTAGGGGGCCGCATGGGGGTGGGATGGGAGCATAAGGGAGAGAGAAGAGCAGGGGAACGTTTCCATGTAAGTTTCTCTTTAAATTCCTAGGAAACGATTCCATTAAGAATCAAACTGTATTGATAGTTGTACATCTCAGGAAAAGACCATCCACACACGGCATGAAAGGCAGCTTCCATTTTCTCTGCACAGTTGACAGTGTTTGATGACACCAGCTCTACACGGGCTTGAGCTTTGCTTTCCTTGGCAAATACTTGATTTCTTTCTTTTATGGGATCTGAAATAGCATCAAGCAGTGTAGATGTGATTTAAGTTGCTAATTTTTTTAGAAATTTGCTGTAAGTATTGCTGCGGATTGTTTCTGGCTTGCCTGCCTGTCAGCAGTCGGTTATACGTGGGTGTGACGGCACCCATTTCCTAGGGTGTCAGTCCACGCTGTTCACAAGGCCGATCCCCACGATGGATCCACCATCCACATCACCATCTTTCTCTCTCCTCATTTTAAGGTAAACTCCTCCAGGGAGTGATCTGCACTCACCGCTCTCATGTCTTTCCCTGGCACTTCTTCCTTAGCCACCTGCATTTTGGTGGCCAGAATTAGGGGGCCGCATGGGGGTCTTTAGTATTTAACAGAAGTCCTGCTTTTGACGGAAACTTGGCACCGCTTTCTAGTCAGGTCTGAGAGTCTGTGCTCCTGTCGATTGTGCCTCCATTTAGGTAAACATTCTCTTTTCCATGGCATGCTTCCCTCCTGTTTACCACGGGTGTCGTCTCCTTTGTCCTGAGGCCCTCCAAACTCAGTTCTTACGCATTTGTTCACCACCACCCCCCCTAATTGTTTCTGTGTTAATAGTCGTGCAATCATTTGTTCTAAAATATGATAGTTAGGCCTAATCTTCCCAGATTAATGTCTTTATCCCTCACTTTCTACTTCCATATTTACAGCTGCCGAGAGAGACTGAGCAATCAGGTAGTTTGTGGCCACTTTTGAGAGTATGGAAGAGCTACAGGGATAATAAACCAAGACTGTCCCAGTCACACTGGCTCAGGGTGACCCTCGCTGTGGGCATCACCACCCAGAGGTTTCATGTGAAAGGTCGTCCTTCTTGCTGCACTAATGGTACACACTCAGATCTTGGGCACCTTGACTCCTCTTCCCCTTTGTCTCCCCGCCTCACCCCAGTCCCCACATACCCCCATTACTCTTTCCTTTCCTGTCTCCCTGGGACCACTCAGGGACATTCTCATCACCCTCTTTGGGACAGCTGAGAGCAAATTGCACTCATTTCCTTCTCCAGGTATTTTCACATACAATTTATTCTGAATACACTTACCACATCAGTCTTTGTACACCACTTCCATCAGCCCACATACACAAAAGAACTTCTCTCATTTTTGTTAACTGGACTAAGCCCAACCTCTTCTGATGCCTGTGGTTCCTGGTCTGCCTCCTGCTGGCCAGTCCAAGGTTAGTTCCCCTTTCAGCCGTACAGCCAGGGGCCGAGCTGGGCCTGCTGTCCTCTTCTCCCTTCCAATGGGTTTTCCTGCCTCTGTTCCTTCACTTATGGTTATTATCTCCCTTCTCTCCTCAGTTTCCCCTTCTCTATGTCAGTCCACATTTCCCACCTCGTTTTGGAAATCTTCCCTGACTTCTGTCGCCTAAATTCTTACACATCACGTTTATGACCTATTTTCTCTATTCTTTTTAATACTGGGTTATGGACAACCTCTTTTGGTTTTTAACTACTAAAATGGACTTTAAGTTCTTTAAGGACTATAATCACACAATTCTTTTGTATCCCCTACAACAGCCATCACTAAGCTGGGCCCTTCGACACTCATATGTAGTTAATATATAATTAGTAATATCTAGTTAGATACTCAGAAGTAATTAATGCAGGTTAGGGAGCCAGGACTTGCTGAAAAGTAAACTTTTGTTGTATAGAATATGTAGGTTCATACTGAGTTGCCATGGAAGTCTTAGTGGAAGATGGAAATTGCTGAAAGGAAATAATAGGATAT